GAGCGTGAGCAGGGGAGGGGCAGAGAGAGGGGGACACAGAACTCAAAGCAGGCTCTAGGCTGAGTGTCAGCACAGAGCCTGATGTGGGGCACAAACTCAGGAACCGCGAGATCATGTTCTGAATTGAAGTGGGACGCGTAACCAACTGAGCCACCCAGGCGCCCCATCTATTGGTTGTTCTTGAGCAGAGCTCTTATGCTTTGTTCTCCCAACTTTGTCTAGACTCTGCTCAGTTGACCCTGCAGAGGGGAGAGAGTTGACTCCCATAGGCATTAAGGACTACCATACAGGACCACAGGGAGGGCCTGGCTGGCTTGGCTTGCCCAAGCTCCTTTAAGAGCAGTTTAGAGGTGGAGCTGGCTCAGGCTCCAGTTTCTGACGTGTGTGTGTGTGTGTGTGTGTGTGTGTGTTGGGGCTTTTGGCACACTGTCACCAGTAGCCCTTAATTCTTTAGTCTCCTGGTGCTGATAGGAGCTGCCCCTTCCCTGAGATGGGAGGGCGAGGAGCAGACTTCCATGCCACTCTGCTTGTTGTCCCTTCCCTTGTGGGAGCAGGAAGTAGATGCCTCTCTGGGGCCATGGTGTGTGTCAGTGGGGGGATTGGTGGGAGTTTAAAGGGCCTGTTTCTGTGCCCAGCCTTCATGCACCACTCCCGTTCCATGCCAGAATATAGACGCCGTCCCTGCGTGCATGGGGGGAGACCTGTGTGAGGGTGTGCAGTGCCGGACAGGTTGGAATCCCTGAGACCCAAGAGGAGTGTTTTCAGTCAGCAGTTACCGCCTGGGCGCTAGGGAGACCAGCTCGGCCCCAGAGGCTTCTGTGGGCCTGCCTGTCGGGCCAGTTCTAGGTAAACAAGGACCTGTGCTGATTTCACATTGAGGAGGTAGAATGGAAGATCGGCCCCAGGTGCCTGCATCTGGATACTCAAGGTGCTCTTGGACCTGAGATGTGAATAATAGGGAGGGCCAGAGGAAGTGTGTTCCAAGCAGGTGCAGAGGCCTGGTGGCTGAGCTTGGCCTGCTCAGAGAGCAGTGAGGAGGCCTGAGGTGCTGGAGCAGCGTGATGGGGACAGTAGACGTGATGGGGACAGTAGACGAGATGGGTGGCCTTGGAGGCTGAGGCTGTGAAAATACAAAATTTATGTTTTGTATTTTCTTGGGGTCTTGAGGGGATTTGAGCAGTGAAGAGCTGGAGAAAAGGGCCTCTTGCTGTGGGGATGGATCGTGGGAAAGAGGCTGCGGCACTGGACTCTCTTCTCCACCCTGTCCTTGGGCAGAACCAGCAAAATCTCTGCTAGGATCCTCTCTGGGGAGGGCTCGCCCATCCCTAATCAGTGATCCACTGGAGGCAGGCCACCTGGGTACGGTCACCTCCTTTCCTCCTAGTCGGTGGTTGCTCAGAGCACTGGCCCGTTTGCAGGGAGTGAGCAGTGCAGAGAAGGTTTTTCTGAACCCGGGGTTGTGGGGGCCAGGGTCTTGCCCTGGGGCTGCCAGAGAGAAGCATGGCTCTCCCCTGCTGGGTGGCCTGACCCAGCCAAGGGCCTCCTGGCCACCCCTCCCCAGGGCAGGCGCTGCGCGGTTGCGGGTCCACGTGTTTAACGCAGCGCTCCTTGGTGCTGGGCTGAGCCCTGGCACGGCCGTGTCGGAGAAGGCTGAGGATCGAGTCGGCCTGGCCTGCCCCGCCCCAGAGTGCTAGGCGAGTCTCCTGTTTTGGCAGCAGGTGCCAATCTTCTCGATCGGGAATGTTTATCTCAGGGCTGTGGCCCACAGGTGTGGCTGAGTGGTGGTGGATGCATCAGCTGCCCGTCTCTGGCCTGGCACCAATGTGGGGTCAAGGCGTCGAGACAGATGGTCCAAGGAGCTGGAGGGGCTGCCTGCCAGTGCTCCCCGTTTGTCCTGTGCAGTCCTTCCAAGTGGCTTTGGGCAAAGGGGAGGATAGGGACTTCATTTTTTGTTTTAGTGTCGTTTCTGTCTGTGCTTTGGCTCTGCGTGTGATAGGCCTCTTGCTTGGCGTCTGCCCAGACATTTGTCTTGTTGGCTTCCCACAACCACCTGTGAGGTAGTTTATCAGCTCCGTTTCATGGACGAGGGACCTGAGACAGGGAAGTGAAGTCTCTCGCTTGATGTTACAGCTGGTGTGGCAGCACTGGGACTTGAACCTGGGAGTTAGGTCTGCAGGAATGTTTCTGTCAGCTCCCTAATGAGAGAAACAGGCACCCCGAGCGGCCAGGGCCTAGGCCTCCACGTGGTCAAGGCTGGCCAGGGGGACGGCACCCACCAGCAGGAGGAGGTCAGACCCTGTGGCCAGACCTGTACACACTGAAGCCACGACCTGGAGTGAGTTCTGTTAGGTGTGTGGGGGTCAGAGATCAGAGGGCTGTAAACAGAGGGTTTTTATTACAGATGAGGCCTGTTAAGGGATGAGACTGTCAGGGGCTACTCAAGCGGGTCATCCTTGGAGTGGGGGTTAGATCTCAGGTCCTAGTTACACTCAGGGCTTGGGTACCTTATCATATGCGTAGGAAACACAACCCGGTGGGGGTTCTTTGTAGTCACCGGGCAGCAGCCCTCTGCATTGCTGTACATTAGAATTGCTTGGGGAACCTTTAAAATTTCCAGGCTCCACCTTTCAGAACCTTGGAGATGGGCCTGGGCATCTGCATCCCAGGTGATTGCACTCTGAAGCCAGGGTCAAGAACCCGTGGTATAGAGCACTGAGGCCACCTTCTTCCATACCAGAAAACATGTAAATGGGTTTTAGCCCACTGCAAGGTCTGGGGTGGGGGAGCGGGGTCAGGTTATCTTTAAAAAGTAAAACTTTCAGTTGCTTATTGAGCCCTATCTGGGTGCCAGGCTCTGAACATGTGTGTGGGGAAAGTGAGTTATTCAGGCCCAAGAGCTGAGGTTTCTGGTGGATGGTGGTAGAAGAAAGTCTGGGGGCTGGAGCTCAGAGGAGTCCGGGCACAGACAAGGGGCACGGAGGGGTGGGAAAGAGGAGGCAACGGCTGCGTCTCCAAATATCCCTGCCTAGCCCCAGTAAACCCACCTCCATCTGTCTCTGCCAGGCCATGGTGGCGTGTTACCCAGGCAACGGGCTGGGGTACGTGAGGCATGTTGACAATCCCCATGGCGATGGCCGCTGCGTCACCTGTATCTATTACCTGAATCAGAACTGGGACGTCAAGGTAGGGGTGAGGGTGAGGCGGCTGCATCTGCTCCATTTGCCGCTCCAGCTCCACTTCTGGCAGCCTCCCGTTCCTCTTAGTGCACAGCGGGGCCGGCCCGTTGGCCTGCAGGCTGGCTTTTCCTGGGAAATCGCACCTCCTCCTCTCCAGCTGACCATGCGGTGGCAGCACGCGCCCCCCCCCCCCCCGCCTTTGGTGAATGGTGCTGTCTGCCCTGTCCCCCCCCACCCCCCCATCCCGTTTCCTGTCTTTATTTCCTGCCAGGCTCCAAGGTGAGGCAGACTCTGGGCTGTCCTTCACTGTAAGAACCTGAGTGGTGGGAGGGAGTGATGTGTGTCCCTGCCACGTCCCCTTGGTAGGCTCCAGAGGGCAGGGCAGGGCAAGGCTGAGGCTTGGGGCTGGGCCCACCAGCCTCCTGCCTCATCCGCGGCCTGCCCTCAGGTGCATGGCGGCCTGCTGCAGATCTTCCCCGAGGGCCGGCCTGTGGTGGCCAACATCGAGCCACTCTTTGATCGGTTGCTCATTTTCTGGTCTGATCGGCGGAACCCCCATGAGGTGAAACCAGCCTATGCCACCAGGTATGACCCATGCTTGTGGGGATGTGCTCAGGTGGGCTGTTCTGTGCCGCCACGACTTGTCAGACCCCGGGAGTGGCCAGGGAGTGGCGCGGTGCCTGGAGGGGCCTAGGTGGGAACAGGCTCAGAAGGGTGCACTTTAGTGTCACTGGATATGGTGGCTGAAACTGAAGAAGAGTAATCTCTTACTGCCCTTTGGGGCTGCTCTGGTCCCCAGGTACGCCATCACTGTCTGGTATTTTGATGCCAAGGAGCGGGCAGCAGCCAAAGACAAGTATCAGCTAGGTACCTGCTTCCCAAACGGCATCCCCTCCCTCAAACCCTTACTGTTCCATGTGCCTCACAAGGCCTCAAGTCCCATGATTGACCTTGTCAATCTCCTAACTAAATTTTATGACTCATTTTTTCTCCCCTCTGCCCATCTTCTCTGGACAGCCCACTTTCCTGGCACCCCCAGCGTGAGCCCCATTTCTTCTGGTCCTCTCCTCCCATCTTCCCCGGTTCTTCTTGGCCTCTGTCCCTTCCATGATGACTCCCCTCTTCCCCTCTTACTCCCAGCATCTGGGCAGAAAGGTGTGCAAGTACCTGTCTCACAGCCGACTACGCCCACCTAGCGGCCAGCGCCAGAGCTGCACGGACAGACCCTGCACGCTTGCCCTGACTTCGGGAGAGCCGCTGGCCCCGCACCGCCGGTCTTGGTGCCTGCTCCTTTTCTGCCACCGCTGCTGCTTCCGCCTTGGCCTCTGTCCTGCTTGGTGTGGAGGGCTCCGTCTGACGCTGAGGACCGAGGAGGAGGAGAGACCTCTGCTGCCCTTTGATGGCGGCTGGGGCTGTGACCTGGGCAGGGGCCAGCGTTGGGAACTACCGTCCCTGGAGCTGGGGGCCTGTGGCTTGCCGTGTCTGCTCGCGCTCAGACGTGGAGACCAGGATGCAGGATTAGGGGTGGGGATGTCATGGCCTAATGCTGGCAAAGGTTTGTTGGGGAGGAGGGAGTATCTCCAAGCCCCCCCCGCCCCAACTCCTCCAGCCTGGAATGTGAAGTGACTCCCCAACCGCTGTGGCCACGGCACCTTTTGGACTAGGCTGCCACTACGTGGGCAAAAGAGGTGCTGGGAGGAGCATGGGCGTGAAAAGTCCTGTCAGCCAAGAAATTAAAGTTTACCTCAGAGCTGCAAACCTCTGACTCTTGCACTCCTTCTTACTGGTAAGGAGACCTGTCTGTTTGCAATTCAGGGCCTTTACTGAGCAAGGCAGGTAAGGAAGTGTGCGAGCCAGCGAGCCGAGGCCAGCTGAGCCTGGCCTCAGCGGGCCACCAGGCGGAGCTGGAAGACTGGAGGGATGTTGCCCAGGCCGGTGTACTGTGGGGTGAGGTCGATGCCGCCGGGGCTCCCCGCAGGGAGCAGGCAGAACCGCTGCAGGATGGCGGTGAGGAAGAGGAAGAGCTCGGACCGCGCCAGGCCTGCACCCAGGCACATCCGCTTGCCTGAGGACACGGGGATGGGGATGCTGGATGTGAACCGTGCGGCTGGGGGGGGAGGGGGACGCTGCCCAGGCTTGTCCCCTCCCTTCCTGGCCCACACCTGGGGCAAAGGGCATGAAGGCATCTTTGCTCTGGAACTTGCCCTTGTCGTCCAGGAAGTTGGTGGGGTTGAAGCAGTCTGGGTCCTTGAATTGGGTGGGATCCCGGTGTGAAGACATAAGGAGAGGAATCACAAAGGTGCCCTGGGTGGGGGGACACAGGGATTATTACCCTGCAGACTTGGTTAGCCACAGCCTTTCATCCATCCAAGACCCCACGTAGAAGCCTCTGGGAAGGTGGGCCTTCTGCTCCCACGGCTTTGTTGACTCAGAATCGCACACGCTCAGGTCTGATGATGTAGGTTCTAGGCGCTGTGGGGCCCCACGCGGAATCCCTGTGCTCCGTGGGTACCTTAGGCAGAAAGTAGCCACGCAGGCGGGCGTCCCTAGTGGCAGCACGCTGGTGAAGCGCTGGATCTCGTGCAGCACGGCGTTGGTGTAGGGCAGGCGCTCGCGGTCCTCCAGCCTCGGCATGCGCGTCTGACCTACCACGGCGGCCAGCTCGGCCTGCACTTTGGCTGGGGTGGGCGGAAGGCGTGAGCTGCGTGTGCCCCGACCCCCAGCCGTCCCCAAGTCCTGGCCCCTCATCCCAGGCTTTCCAGCTCACGGACCCGCCACCTCAGGGTACTTCATCAGAATAAGGAGCCCAAAGCGCAGAGTGGTGCTTGTGGTCTCAGTGCCCCCAAAGAAAAGATTGTGTGTGGTCATCACCAACGTCTCCTCGCGGAAATGGCTCTCCGGGTCTTTCTGTTCCTGCGTACAGAGATGGGTGGGTGCCACGTGTCTGGCACCTCTTGGGGGCGGCGTGGGTAGAACTTAGGGTAATGGGGGTCTGTGTGTACCTTCTCCATCTGATCGAGGAAGCAATCGATGAAATCGCGGGGCTCCCCAGGCTGCCGCGTCTGTTGGTGCTGCTGGATTTGCTCAGAGATGAAGACCTGAAGCTCCGTGAAGTTTTGAAAGATTCGGTGGTGCGGACCCGGGAGCCAGTCAAGGAGGGAGGGGAAAATGTACATCTGGGGGGACAAGATGGCAGCTGGACCTTGAGCAAGACCACTGTGGGAAATTGCACCGGGACTTTGCTCTTTTTGTTAAGTGGGCTTCATTCCCAGCCTAGAGCCCAACTCGGAACTTGAACTCATGGCGCTGAGATCAAGACCTGAGCTGAGATCAAGAGTTGGACACTTGACATACTGAACCACCCAGGTGCCCTTGCACTAGGACTTTGAAGTTCTAAGTTCTAGAACTCTTCCCTTCCAAGATTCTAAGACTCTCAATCTAATGATCCAATGGAGGCAAAGTGTACGTAATCGGGGCTTGGCATAGGTTCCGCGTGGGAGGAAGGGACTGGGGTGGGCCCTCTCACCTCACCCCATCTGGAACTCATGATGCGAAAGTTGTCATTGAAGAGGTCCAGGAGCCTCAGGAACTCGGGGTCCTTATAGCCATAGCGGTTCCCAAAGACCACCGAACAGATTACATTAGATACGGCATTATCTAGTAGCCTCCGGGGGTCAAACGGCACTCCTGGGGAGGTGGGAACAGGACGGGGTCTTAATGCGGTGGCTTTGCTTACTGACTTCACTCCACTACAAATGCCTTCCCGTGTCCCACCTCCTTTTTAAAGAAATCTCTACACCCAACACGGTGCTGAAACATACCGAGGTCTAGAGTCCCACACTCTACTGACTGAGCCAGCCAGGTGCCCCACCAACCCTTTCTTCATCATTTGGTCACATCCACAAAAGGTCCCTCTCCTTTCCCGACCGGGCCGCACCAATGGTAGCTTGGAATTCGCGAAGCGGACAAGCCGCCTCCTCCAAGATGCGCTCCTCTATGGTCCGCGTTCCCAGCCCGAACTCCTTAAGTGCTCCCAGTGCAAAATTTCGTAGCGTCAGCCAGCGCTGCCCGTTAGAAAACACGATGCCTGGAGGTGGGGCAGAGAAGGGGCGGCTCGGGGAGTTGACCGCTCCCCGTCCTGAAGCGTCCAGTCTTGGAGTCGGCTTCCTCGCCACCCTTCACTCTGCGGCTTCCCAGGCCTCCCGGCTGCAGACCCCGCTTTCTCGGTCCTATCCGCACATTGGCTTCACCTCTACTGGTCTCGATGCCTTACCAGTGCCTGATCTCTTTGGCTTTGACTCTTAGGCTCTTCTCTTCTATTGGCTGCACGAGAGCCAGTCCCGCTCTCCCATTCGGTCCCTTTTAGCTCCTCCCCACCGTCTTGCTGTTTGCCTTCATTGGCCTTCATTCTATTAGGCACCGCCCCATTTCCCCGGTCCAGCCCTTTAAATCGCTCGAACTGGGTGGTCCCGGCCAGCACTTCCGCCGCCGCTGCCGCCGCCGCGGCCGCCGGGGACTCACCGTTTCCGCGAGTGAAGCGTTCAAACACAGGCATGGCCCCACGGCCGGAGAAGGCATCCGCCTGCAGCACTAACGCGTCCCGCAGCGCCGAGTAGCCGCACAGAACCACTGCAGGGCGCCGGCCCAGCCACACTGTGAACACCGGGCCCCAGCGGCCAGAAAGCTGCGCAGAGCCGGTGCTCAGCGGGTCCCGGTCGGGACTCTTGACCCCCTCTTCCACCACAGAGCCCCGACCCCATCTCTCTCTAGCTTCGGACCCAGGAATCCCCATTTCAGCCCCTCGTTCCTGGCCGAGGAGCTCAGATCCCCACCTCCTGCTTCATCCACAGGAGCCCAGGATCCCCAGCCCCTCTCTTCCCTCAAGATCTGGAAGACCAGGTCTGGAGCCCTTTGCATCCTCAGAACTAGGCGTCTGGGCCTTCGGTGCTCCCCTCCCCACCCTGAACCAGGAGAGCAGACCTCTCTGCACTCCCCCCCCCCGCCCCCCATCCCCGATCTGACTTCCCACACTAGGCTCTTCCTCAGGACCCGAGAACTAGGGCGGGAGGGAGGCAGCGGCACTTGGATCTCAGGCCCACTGTTCCTCTCCTCCCTCAAACAGTTGCCTGGGCTCCCAGCTTCCACCCCTAGTTTCCTCCTTTCCTGGAACACAGGACTCCAGGCCCCTCGACCGTCCCCAGGACTCATAGGTCACAGCCCTCAGCTGTCATCATTCAGAGAACCAGGACTTCCAGCCCCCAGCCCCACCTCCACGAGTCCAGAACTCTGCCCCCCGCCACCCTGCTCTCTGGGCTACCTCCATGAGTGCATGGTCCAGGCGTCCAGACTCCAGCTGCAGCAAGTTCCCCAGCAATGGGAGCGGCGTGGGCCCGGGGGGTAGGACCCCCCGAGGCTGAGTGCCCTGTGCACCCTAGTCCCGCCTGGCTAGCGCCAGCAGCAGCAGCAGCAGCAGCAGCAGCGCTGTGACGCCGGTGAACATCATGCCTCATCCTCCATGCCTGCCCCCCTTTGCCTTTATGTGATTCCCTTCGGGTCCTGGGTGGAGGAGCAGGGGCGGATACCGGGAGGGGGAGAGGTGGGTGTCTCCAGAGACCGCTCATCCTGCAGAGTCCCCAGTCCAAGGTCTCCACCCAGCCCCCCAGCTCTCTCACTGTTGTGACAGCCCGGCCTGCCCTATTTGGCAACTTTGTTTGCATCTTCTGTGTCAATACATCTGGCCAACAGGGGCTCCCTGCCGAGCCTTTGGGTCCTTTGGGTCGTCTTACTTGGCCTGTCGGTGTGCATTTCTGAATGCCCAGGCCACCTTTAGGTCCGAGACCCCCTGAATGCTGTACTCTATACTTCTGATTGCTAACGATGTTCCTGACTCCTAAAAACACTGCTGGTGACATACCTAACAGCCTGGCACTTCTCTGCTGTCTTTATGACTCCTGGGTGCCTTGCCCTGAACGCCCACCACCTCTATTCCCAATGCTCTCATTCCCAGATGTCCCCAGATGTCCTTTGTCCATGCTGCCGCACCCCATGTCTCCAGTTTCCCAAAAGCCTTGCTGGGCATCCCCTCCCCCGGGGCCAGGCCGGGACGGCCACGCTTGAGGGTGTGGGCTGGAGGGCACAGGGTGCCCAGGGGTAGGCTTAGGGATGGGGCTGAGTCAGAGCTCAAAACACTGTTCAGGAATGAGCCCCCCCCCCCCCCCCCGGCGCCTGCCTCACCTTGGCCTTGCCTCACCGGCTCTAGCCTTCCGATAGGTGCCTGGCACAGGACCCAGCCTTGGGGAGAAGGTGGGGGCTGTGCACTGTCTGGAACTGGGCTTGTTTCTGGGCGTGTGTCTCAGTGTCTCTGTCTCTTTGTTTCCTCTCTCAAAGTCTTCTTCACTCTCAAGTTCTGTTTCTTTGTTCATCTTTTTCTGTTTTACTCTCAGTATCTGCTTCTGTTCATCCCCATAATCCCTCCCAGTTTGTCGCTTCATCCCTTCATCTGCCTCTTCCCTGCCTCCCGGCCTCTATCTCCCTACCATGTCCTCAGCCATGAGTCTCCCTCCCTGTCGGCCTTTCTGTCCAGGAACCTGATGACTGGCAGGGGGTGTGGGGCAGGGCCCCTGCTTTCGGGGCTGACTCCAGAGACAGCAGGGGTGTGGCTGGGTGTACCCTCCCCTGACCGGGCCCCATCCCACTGTGTCAGGCTTTCCGATGAACTGCTTTCTCTGGGTCTCTAAGAGCTGACATTTGTTCATTTCTGTATCCCCACTGTTAAAATACACAGTGGGTGCTCAGTAAATGTTTGTTGAATGAATGCATGACTCTGTATCCTGAATTCTGTCTCTGTCTTTAACTCACTCTATTTTTCTCAGCCTCTGTCTTTTGCTGAATCTTTGTGACTGTCTCTTTTCTTGTCTGTCTCTGACTCGTCTTTGTGTGTGTGTGTTTATTTATTTATTTTGAGAGAGAGACAGAGCATGAGTAGGAGAGGGGCAGAGAGAGAAAAGGAGAGAGAGAATCCCAAGCAGGCTGTGCACTGACCGTGACTCAGGGCCAGATCTCATGAACCTCAAGATCGTGACCTGAGCCGAAGTCAGACACTTGACCAACTGAGCCACCTAGGCGCCCCTCTTATTTCTGTTTTATTTATTTATTATTTATTTATTTATTTATATTACTGAGACAGAGAGAAACAGAACATGAGTGGGGGAGGGACAGAGAGAGATGGTGACACAGAATCCGAAACAGGCTCCAGGCTCTGAGCTGTCAGCACAGAGCCTGACGTGGGGCTTGAACCCACGAACCACGAGATCATGACCTGAGCCGAATACGGAGGCTCAACCGACTGAGCCACCCAGGCGCCCCTCTTATCTCTGTTTTAGAATCTCCTTGTCTTCCTTCTCTCTGGGCATCTGTCCATTGTCTCTCTGTCTCACTCCTAGTCTTTGGTTTTCACGATCTCTCCTGTCTCTGCATCCCTCTCTCTGTTCTGTGTCTCTCCATCTCTTTTTCAGTATTTCCATGTGTTTCTCTCTGCTGTCTCCCTCTCTTTCTTTCTCAGGACCTCTGAGTCTCCCTCTCTGTCTCCACCTCTGCGTCTTGTTGGCCTGTGATGGGAACAGCATGGGGATTAAGGAGCCGACGCCTATAGGTGTGGGGACCGCCTATAAGTCTCAGCAGATCGTGCTGTGTCCCAGCTTCTGGATGGCCTTGGGGAGACTCCATTTAGGGTAGGGTCACCCAATCCACCTCCGCCCATGGCTGGGGGCAGGGGGCACCGCCGCTCTGAATCTGGTTCCATGGAGCTTAAGATGCCAGTGTGCTCATCGAGAAAAGCTTCTGTCAGCACGATGTCAGGTTAACAAGGCCCGTCCCAGGCTGGGAGGCCCCTCGCCTGCCATCCCCACCGGAGAGGGAGAAATTGCAAGACAGTGGGGCGCCTGGGTGGCTTAGTCGGTTAAGCGTCTGACTTTCACTTAGGTCATGATCTCGCCGTTCGTGGGTTCGAGCCCCGCATCGGGCTCTGTGCTGACTGCCAGCTCAGAGCCCGGAGCCTGTTTCAGTCTGTGACTCCCTCTCTCTCTGACCCTCCCCTGCTCACGCTGTCTCTCTCTCTCTCTCCTAAAAATAAATAAAACATTTAAAAAAATTAAAAAAAGAAGAAAAAGAAATTGCAAGACAAAAGAATAGGCTTTCAGGCTTCCTGGTGCCTCCTTTCCCCCTTCATCGCCCTTCCTCTCTGGCTTTCTCTGGCCATTTCTGTTTCTTTGTCTCTCTCTCTCCTCTCCGTCTCCCCATTTCTCCGTCCCTGTACTCCTCTGCATTGCTCTGGTCTCTGCCTTGCAAGGTGGAGGGGACCCGTGTTGGAGTCTGTGACCCGGTCCCAGCTCTGCCCCCTTCCGGCCATGTGATCTTGGCCAAGTCATTTCACCTCTCAGAGTCTCTAAAAGTGTAACACGCTGCTTTGTCTCACAGGGGGATTGTAGTGGGGGTGTTAGAGTGAATAGGGAGCACTGTGTAAGTCTGAGTAATTGTTATTTCTCAACCTCGCGGTCCCTCAGTTCTCCCTGCTCACGTCTCCATCTTTGTACTGCATCTCTGGGCCGACTTGTCGACCTCTGGGCTGCTGTCTTTTTCTCTGCCTTGGTTTCCCCGCCTCTCTGTCACCAGGGCCTCGCAGCCCTTACCCCAGGAAACAGTGTCTCCCGAGTTTCAGCCCTTCTAAGGGTGAGGGTAGAACCAGCCAGTGGGGCGTCTCCTTCTCTGCAGCCAGACATTCCTTCTCCCCCATCCTGGGGGACCGTCCTCCCTGAAATTCAGCCAAGGCAGTTTGAATCTTTTATAATTTACTAGAAAATGACACAAACAGCCCCCAAGAGGGCGCGCAATATGAACGAGGCAGGCACTTCCCCTTGCCTTCGCGTTTCTCTGCTTCTGGGGGGCGCGCGCCAGACCAGGTCGAGATGGAGGGGATGGAGGGATGCGTAAGCGGCGGGCTCGGGTGCGAGGAAGCAAGTGTGGCAGCGAGAGGCATCGGGGGCACAGCGGAACGAGAAGAGGACGGGGCCCGCCCCGCGGCGGGCCTCCTGGCTCCTTCCAGAAGGGCGGCGAAGTCAGCGCGCGCGCAGGCACAGCTGGAAAGGCCGCGGGATGTTGCCGAGCCCGGAGCTGAGCGGGGTCAGGTCGATGTCCTCGGGCGCCCCCAGCGGCTGCAGCGAGAAGTTCTGCAGGATGGCGGTGAGGTAGAGGAAGAGCTCCATGCGCGCCAGCGACTCGCCCAGGCACACTCGGCGACCTGCGGGGGTGGGAAGGTGGCGGAGGAGCGGTGAGATGAGACGGGGTGAGGGGCTCCGGTACCAAATTCTCGGAGGGAAACATATGACGCTAATGGTTGGAGACATCCCAGACCCACCCCTCTAAAGATCTGTAAAGATGCTTTCAATAAATCCGGGACCAAGAAGGATCTGGCTGATACAAGGGCAAGTTCAGGGGTTCGAATCCCGACTCTGCAGTTACTAGTTATGTGATCTTACACAAGCCAGTGTCTGGGTATGTAAAATGGGGATGATAATAGTGCCTCGTTAGATTGTTGTGGATGGTAAATTCAGGAAAGAAATGAGACCATATGCCATGTAGGTCATATTGCGTGATAGGTTACTCTAGGCAGTGTACTGATACTAAGTTAATCCTCATAACAATTCCAAGAGGTGGGAATTATCATTCTCCGCTTTATAGATGTGGAAGTTGAGGCACAGAGGGGTGAAGTAACATATCCAAGGCCGTTATAGCTAGATGACTGAGCTGGGGTCTGGCTGTAAAACTTAACTTTTAGCCACCACTCTAATGGGTCTTCTTAAAAGTAGTGCCTGGCACATAGTAGGCAATATGGTAAGTGGCTTACTATTATTCCTCCTTTGCATTTCTGCTACTGGGTTAAACAGGAAAGATATTTTTGTAGCAGGATCAAGACCAAAGCCAAGGAAAACTAGAACTGCTCACCTGCGCCACCCAGCGGGGAGACTGATGGTGACACGCCCCCCAAGTTGAATTAAAATCCTACCTCCCCGCCTCCCCACTGCAAGGATTTCAGTCATTTTCTACCTATAGGAGCAGAGTTGAGAGTGAGAACATCCAAAGCTGAGGATGTGGTGAGATGATGAAGTGAGAGGGCTTGAGAGTGGAATTAGGACTGAAGAGGGAAAAAAAATGTGTGTGGGCAGTGCACCTTGGCTCAGTCCGTGAAGCTTCTGGCTCTTGATTTTGGCTCAGGTGGTGATCTCAGGGTTGGTGAGACTGAGTCCCAAGTCTCTCTTTGTGCTGACAGAGGGGAGCCTGCTTAGGATTCTCCCTCTCTCTCCTTCTCTCCCTGCCCCTCCGCTGCTCATGCTCTCTCTCTCTCTCTCAAAATAAATAAATACAAAAAAAAAAAAAAAAAAAAAGGACTGAGGAATGTACTTAGGAATATGGGGCCCAAAAGACCCTGACTCTTGCCCCTGTGGTTCTCACCGGCTGAGAAGGGCATGAAGGCAGGGCTCTTCTTGAAGGACTGATTGGCATCGAGAAAATGCTCAGGGTTGAATTCCTGGGGTGTCAGGAACTGGCTGGGGTCATAGTGGACTGTATTAAGGAGGGTGATGATATCCGTGCCCTGTGTGGGTAGGGAGGCAGAATCAGTGGGGTAGAAGATCTGGAAGGTTCTCAATCTAAGACTTCTGTTGAACAGGGCTGGAGGTCCCAGGGGCTTGAGAAGGGGATGTGAAGCATAGGACACCATCAGGGATTCAGGAAATGTGTGTCATTGTCTGGGGTCCCAAGTGGGTGCTGGAAGCTGTGTGCACAGGAATGGGGGATACCTCCCCTTGTCAGAGCAGGTTTGGGGTTTCTGGGAATAGAGAGGGGTCTCAGGACAGTGCTTAGGCATAGGGGATCCCCAGGATGAAGTCTCAGACCCTGGGGATGCTGGAGAGGGGTTAGGGAACCCGTCAAGGGGAAGAGGTCTGGAGTTCAGGTCAGGATCCGGCCCATTATAGGACGGAATAGGATCTTGGGAAGGGGCTGAAGTCCCGGATTCAAGAGCCTCAGGTGTCTGTTGGGATGCCAACAGTTATCCCAAGACTGCTTGGGATGCCAGTCGCTAAGGCCCAGAGTACTGATTGCTAGGGCCCCTGGGATCCCCCTTGCTAGAGCCCCAGATGCCATTAGTAAATCTGGGGTGCCTCGTTTAGTGTGCCAGAGGTCCATTGTCAGGCGCCCAGCACACCTTGGGTATCAGGAAGCCCCGGAAGGCTGTGTCCCGAGTGACGCGGTGCGGCAAGTTCATGGGGATGACGTCTGCGAAGCGCTGCACCTCGTGGATCACCGCATCTGTATAAGGCATGGCCGCTCGGTCGTCCAGCGCCGGCAGCCGCGCGCGTCCCACAACGCTGTCGATCTCCTCCTGTACGCGGGCTGGAGGTGGAGAGGGGAGCCTAGTCGAGGGTACCAGAGGGCTCGACTGGGCTGGGAAGAGGGGTGTGCTTCCGTGCGGGGGGTCCCAGGCCCTGCTTCCCAGTGTGTGTGTGTGTGTGTGGGGGGCGCTGCAGAGGTGCCTGTGAGGGTTAGCGGGGGCCACGGAGGGAAGGGTTGGTTTGAGAGACGTAGGTGAGGGCGAAAATTTGTTTGGTGCAAGGGCTCCTGGGGCGGCGTTGGGAGGGGCGGGGCCCTCCGGGATGGGAGGACCTGGCCCGCTGGAGGGTGGGTTGAGTGGGTGGGTTTTGCTTAAGCTCCGAAAGATCCAGGAGGGAGCAGGCGACTTGGACCCTAATAGACTGTGCTGGAGGCCAGGGTTCCGGCATCTGCCCAGAGGCGGATCGGATGGGGAGATGGGGTCGCAGACCGTGCTGTGTGGGCAGGTAGTCAGACTCTGTGGGTCAGACTGATGGTTCCTGGCTGGCCCTGCGGCTGAGGCTCAGGACCAGGCTCTAGGCGGACTGGGAGATCCCAGGCTCCGAGGTCGGACGCGTGGTGTGTGGCCAGGGTCAGAGGTGGGCCACAAAGCAAGACCATCGGGGCGGGGTCCGGGGTCTGGCAAGCTGCGGGGACCGCGGGAACCGTGTGGGTGGGCCTCCGTGTGGGTTTGGCTGTGGGTCGCGGGCGTAAGCTGGAGGCTTGGGTTCTCGCATGCTGGGCGGGGCTTAGAGTTGCGCGAGCCGAGGCGCGCGGGGCACGCGTGCCCAGCGGGTGTGCTCCGCGGCGCTGTGTGCAGGCTTGGGGCACGCGCACCTTGCACTTTTGGGTACTTCATGAGCACAAGGAAGGCGTGGCGCAGCGTGGTGCCCACCGTCTCGGTGCCCCCAAAGAGCAGGTTGTGCGTGGTCATCAGCAGGGTATCCATGTAGAAGTGGCTGTGCGGGTCCTGCTTCTCCTGCGGAGATTGAGGGGCGGGGCTGTGAGCTGGGCCAGGAGATCCCGCCCCGGACACTGGCCACGGGCTCAGATCTGCACAACCCCTGCTGGGTGTCAGTTCGGTCCCTCCTCTGTTTAACTTCCTTTGGTCAGGGTCACTGGGGAGCGCGGAAGGGCGGGGCGGGATAGAGAAGTTCCCAGCGCTGGGCCCACAATGAACTTCTTAATGAGCTGTTAATTGGCCGTGGCCCGGAGTGTCTCCGGGCTCCAGCCTAGCAGAGCCAAGAGTTCTAACTGCACTTCCCGGATGCAGGGAGATCATTCTCCACCTCGGATCCTCGTGGGTTTGAGGCAGGGGCAGCGGGTCAGACCAGAGATGAGACTTCCGGGCCGGGCTTACTTGTGCCATCTTGTTGAGGAAGCAGTCGATGAAGTCGCGGGGAGCGCTGGGGTCGAGGGAGTCCTGGTGGTCGCGGACGCTGCGGGCGATGAGGTCCTTCATGCACCCGAAGTTCCGGAAAAGGCGTCGGTGCGGCCCAGGTAACCAGTCCAGGACGCTCGGAAAGACGTTGTACAGCTGCGGGTGGGGGAGGGTCGGAGGGGTTTGGAGGGTCAGGCAGGGTGTGGGGGGCGGATGCCAGTGCGGTCAGGGTGGAGCAGGGAGGCACGGGCGGTTGGAGTCTTGAGGGTCAGCTAGGCTCTGGGGAGGCCGAGGTGAGACGGGGACTCTGTGTGCGGCAGCTTGGTGGAGAGAGTGGCCTTGGCTCGGCGGGGCGGGGCCAGACAGGGTCAACCGACCAGGACAGAACGAACCCCAACCCTGTACCCCCCGCCAGCTAGGCCTCCTGACCTCTCCCCAGGGGGTGCTCATGATTTGGAAGTTGTCATTGATAAGGTGGACAATGGTGAGCAGACGTTCATCGTCGTAGTCGAAGCGGCTGCCGAAGAGCACCGAGCAGATAATGTTCGACACCGAGCGGCTGAGCACAAACGTGGGGTCGAAGGGCTTGCCTGAGGGCAGGGGCAGAATGAGCCGAGGGGCGCATTGTGCTACACACCCGATTCCCGAGTGGCAATGACACTAGAGTGCGCAACATCGCACCCAACGATGCAGGGTGACTTGAGGCACAAAGTGAAGACTCCTGGCCACCTAACATGCGTCCTAACAACCACAAGAGTACCTGGCAACGCAGAAGCCACCACACCCTGCGGCCGGTCCACGGCACCACCGGGCAAGGGAACAGGACGCTCTTCACCATGCGACCCCCAGCACACAACACACAAAACAACACACAGCATGCAACACAACTCAATACTACATCAGTGCCTGACAACACTACAGCCTCACCCAGCAACGACACAGTGACACAACACCTGACACCCAATGGTCTGACCACTGAACGGATCACAGAAAATAGCCCAGTAGCCGTGACACACAGCGCGGCCCAGAAAACTGAGCCTGGAGTCAGATATAGTTTGGATTTTGGCTTGGCCTCTTAAGCTCTGTATGACCTGGATAAACTGACTTCCCTTGTCTCAACCTCAGCTTTCTCCTCTGTAAAATGGGCTCGATGATTGTCTTCTGCTCATGGGGCTGGTGGAAGGAGTCCATAGTGTGGCTGGGTATGGGCCTAGCCCATCCTGAGCCTGTATAAACCAGGGTGCTGTGGTGGGCTGAATAATGCCCTCCTCCAAAATGTTCATGTCCTAATCTCTAAGGGCCTGTGAACATGTGATTAAAAAAAAAATGTTTTAACATTTATTCATTTTTGAGAGACAGAAACAGCATGAGTGGCAGAGGGGCAGAGAGAGACGGGGAGACACAGAATAGGAAGCAGGCTCCAGGCTCTGAGCTGTCAGCACAGAGCCTGAAGCAGGGCTCAAACTCATGAACTGCAAGATCATGACCTGAGCTGAAGTTAGACACGTTCAACCGACTGAGCCACCCAGGCGCCCCCATGAACATGGGATTAAATTAAGGATTTTGAGATGGGGAGATTGTTCTGGTTTATCCAAGTGGGCTTAATGTCATCACAGTGGAAGCAGAAGGGTCTGAGTAAGAGAAGGTGATGAGATGATGGAAAGGAAGAATGGCCGGGGGGGGAGAGAAATATAGACATGGGAGATGCTGTATTGCTGGCTTTGAAGAAGGGGAAAGGGGCCACGAAGGTGGGTGGCCTCTAGAGGCTGGAAAAGGCAAGGAAATGGATTCCCCCCTAGAGTTTCCAGAAGGAGCCATCTCTGCGGACCTGTTTTATCTTTAGACTTTGGATTCCAGAACTGTAAGAGAATAAATGTGTGTTGCTTTAAGTCACTAAGTTTGTGGCTTTTTTTTTTTTTTTTAAATAGCAGCCGCAGGAAACTAACTCAGGCAGTTTATCCTTTATTTACATCCCATCATTCCAACCCCACAGCAAGACTGGCCACATTTTCTTCCCTGCCAAAAGCCAGCAAGATTTGGAGATCAGGGTAGAGGGCTGTCTGCCTGTCTTTCAGTTTCTCCTGTAAAATGGGGTTTAAAATAGGACTTCCTTCTTAGGTTTGGGTGATTGTTCAAGGAGGTAATATACACAAAATTCTTGGAACAGTGTTGACATATGGTAGGCACCATGTGAGTGCTTTTTTTTTTTTTTTTTTAATGTTTATTTACCTCTGAGAAAGACAGAGACAGAGCGTGAACAGGGGAGGGGCAGAGAAAGAGGGAGACACAGAATCTGAAGCAGGCTCCGCGGGGCTCAAACTCAGACTGTGAGATCATGACCTGAGCTGAAGTCGGATGCCCAGCTACCTGAGCCACCCAAGTGCCCCAGTGTGGGTTATTTTTCACTTATTTTTCCATGGGTGGGCAGCCTTGAGCTGGGTTTACATCCCAGCTCTGCCACTTCCAGAGCACGTGACATAACCTTTCTGGGCCTCAGGTTCATCACCTGTAATAACTTCCTGAAGTTTCAGGGGATGTGGGATGTGTTCATATATGTGAAGAGTTTTAGTATAGTGCCTGGTATCCAGGAAGCGCTCAGTAAATGTGCATTTGTGTGCGGAGTGTGGACCTTGGTGTTGGCAAAACACAGGTTTAAATCTTTGCTTCTCCACTGACTAGCATTATTATTATTATTATTATTTATCATTTCAAGCCAGTTAGTTGATCTCTGTGCCTTCTGTTTGCTCATCTGCAAAATGGATCATTCTGAGGCTCAAGGGGCTTATGCGTGGAAGTGTGCTTAACACAGGGCCCCGTAAGGAGTGCATAGTCAAGAGTATCATCATCGTCGTCGTCGTCGTCATCATCACCATCCACCACAATTATACAAATTGCATTCAAAATACCACACAGAGATGGCGCAACGGAACAGCCACCACATAACCCATCTTGCTGCCATACCTTGGAGAACGTAGCACCTGGAGCTGACCCACCACCAGGGGGCACCACTCTTACCGCGGGCCAAGTGGGAAGCCTCCAGGAGTTTTAAGCTCATGCCCTCCCTATCTGGCTGTCCTGACCACTAAGTAGGATGGATATGAGTTAGGGCTATCGACCCACCTTCAGTTTTCTGTAGCTCCGCCAGCAGGAAGCTGCCTTCCTCCAGGATCCGCTCCTCGATGCTCTTCTTGCCCATCCCGAAGTTCCGCAGAATCTGGATAGAGAACCTCCTCAGGGCCTTCCACCGGTCCCCATTGGAGAAGGCGAGGCCTGGTGAGAAAGGGAGGGGCCAGCTCAACTGATGACTTGTTTCCAACACCACTGCCACCTGAGTCCCCCTTTCCCAGTGTCTTCTGGGAGAGAGACTGAGAGTGTGGAATCTACCCCCTCCCAGGAAAGCCCTTCCTAACCCTCCAGGCTGGGTCAGGTGCCTTCTCTGAGCTCCCACAGGGCCCTGGGCTTCCTCACCGTAGACGTGATCCACTCTGTTTCCCTCATCACAGACTTGATCGCTCTGGACTATCACTGTCTGGCCACAGGGCTATCTCCTTCTCTAAGCTCAGAAGATGGGAGGTGGAGGGGCTATCTTGGTCACCACCATGTCCCTAGCATTGTCCGCTGCAGGGCTTACCACACAGGAGGTGCCGGTGATTGCTTATTAATTAATGAAATAACAAATGAGGGAGAAAAGCAAGAGAAATAAACACTGAGACATTAGGACCTCATCCAGGAACCCTCTTTCCCTGGACTCAGGGTCTTTGCACAGGCTAGTCCTTTTTCCAGAACACTCTTCAACCTCTGTCTGCTCCTGATCGGTGGTCTTCATCTTCTAGGTCTCAGCTTAGAGACCCCTGCCTCCACGACACTCTTGCTGGCCCTCCCCTGGCCGGCTCAGGCTACAGCTCCCCCTTCCAGCCCTGGCTACGCTAGGCAGTCACAGTTTGGTGATGGGGCTACCATTGGATAAGGTCTCCCGCTTGTTCATCTCTGATTTCCCTGGAGCAAGCAGAGAACTAGAAGCTCGAGAAGAAAACACTACACTGATTGCCTTGCATTGTCTGCCTTATCTCATTGACTTGGAGCAAACGGCTTTTTCATGCTAGCCAGCGCAGGGGCAGAGAGAGGAAGCCACTTGTCCAAAGGCACACACCCAAGAAGCAGCAGACCCCTGTTGTTACCCTTTGTACTATGTAAGGAAGAGCTAGTAACAGATAAGGTATGTATCCAGATGGTTTCTGTGTGGAAAGTAGCAAGAAACAGCTACTGTCTCCACCTCCTTGCACCTGATGTACTTTGACAGGTGAGGTCAGAAGATCAAGCCCAGGAAGGGGACATGAAGGTAGAATGTGTACTCAATACACAACAGGAGGATTTTTGTTTGTTTGTTTGTTTTAAAGGTTATTTTGAGAGAGAGACAGAGACAGAGAGAGAGGGAGAGAGAGAGAGACTGATGTGGGGCTTGATCTCATGAACAATGAGATCATGACCTGAGCCGAAATCAAGAGCTGGATGCTTAATTGACTGAGCCACCCAGAGGCCCCTGTTTTTGCTTTTAACTAGAGCTCTTTACTTCCAAATCCTGGAGCAGCTGGCACCCACCTAGTGAAGGGGACAGGAGCCTCAGGGTTTCTTTAGGGGGAGAAGAGTTCAAGATGTAGGTCTCCAGGATCCCCTTTTATGTTTTCATTTTTAAAAATGTTTTATTTATTTCTGAGAGAGAGACAGAGAGACAGCTTTCCACAGAAGTGGAAACAGGCTCCAGGCTCTGAGCTGTCAGCACAGAGCCTGACGCGGGGCTTGAACCCACGAACTGTGAGATCTTGACCTGAGCCGAAGTCAGATACTTAACTGACTGAGCCCCCCAGGCGCCCTCAGGATCCCCTTTTAGATCAGAGCAACTTTCTGCCAATTTTATCTCTTTCTCCCCCTCCCTTTCCTTTGTCATTTATTCGTCTTATGGCTTTCTTTGAATAAAAGATTTATGTTAAAAAAAAAAGAAAGAAAGAAACGGGGTTCCTGGGTGGCTCAGTTGGTTAAGTGTCCAGATTCAGTTCTGACCATGATCTCACGGTTTGTGGGTTTGAGCCCCACATCGGGCTCTGTGCTGACAGCTTGATGCCTGGAGCCTGCTTCCACTTCTGTGTCTCCTTCTCTCTCTGCCCCTCTCCAGCTCATGTTCTGTCCTTTTCAAAAATAAAATAAACATTAAAAAATTTTTAAGAAAAAAAAAAAAAAGAAAACCCAGAAGACTAGGTGATTTCCAAACCTAAGGAGGACAGGGTATTGAGACAGATGAGGTTTGGAGTTGATGTGAGTTGCTGGCTGGGTAGGGATGAACCTGGGTTTGGGTTGGGAAGGGATGACAATGGGGTATAAGGGGGGATTATGGGGTTGATGATAAATTGGGTTTGAGGTTGCTGATGGGAATGGAGTTGTACAGAATCGGAAAGACCAGTAGATTAGGGTTGAGATTGAGCTTGGGGTTGGGTGAATATGTACTGGGGCTGGTTTTGGTGATGGTAGTGTTTTTTGTTTTGTTTTTTGGTTTGTTTGTTTTAATTTTTCTAATGTCTTTATTTTGAGAGACAGAGACATAGAGTGAGCAGGGGAGGGTCAGAGAGAGGGGGAGACACAGAATCCAAACAGGCTCCAGGCTCTGAGCTGTCAGCACAGAGCCCGACATGGGGCTTGAACCCATGAACTATGAGATCATTGCCTGAGCCGAAGTCGGACGCTTAACCGACTGAGCTACCCAGGCGCCTCTATGGTAGTTTGATTAGGGTTGAAAATGGCACTGGGGACGGACAACTTCAGTAGGTGATTGGGATTGAAGATAAGGCTGGGGCTGGAGAGAAAAATGGTGGAGTTCAGTTTGACTAGAGGGCCAGGATGGGTTGATAACAGATTTTAGCGTGGGGTTTGGGAGAGGGTTCATTATGGGAATGGAGGTTGGAGGGAGATGAAGTCTGTGTTGCAGGTAAAGGTGAAGTTGAGGTTGGAATGGGGGACATGGAGGTAGGGTTGACTGAGGACTGGGTTGAGGTGGACAATGTGGGCTGGGCCAGATAATTCGGCCACTTGACTGAGACGGAAATTTGATAATGTAGTTAGGCTGGAGACAAGGATTGGGATGAGAATGGGGTTGGAGTTGGATGGAGCTGGGGGATGGGTGTGGAAATGCATTTCAAGATGGTGGTGGAATCTGGGGATGGGGAAGATGGAACTGAGTCTACCTAGACTAGCACTGTGTGGCTCCATCGCAGCTGGTGTCATTGGTGAGATCAGTAGCCCTGAGTGTCATAAAAATTGGGAGGACAGTCCCCTACCCTTATCCCCTCCCTCAGTGTGGGGTGAATTGGAGAGGGGAGAAGATGGGGAGCAGGCTTACCATTGCCCTTAGTGAAGTTGAAAAAGGTGGGGTAGTCGCCACGGCCACTAAAATCGTCCCCTTGGTCCACAAGAGCCTCCTTCACGGCCTGGTACCCGCTAAGGACCACTACGCGCCTGGGCCCCAGGTACACTGTGTACACCGAGCCGTACACCTTGCTCAGCTTAGGGTAGGAAAACAGATGTCACGGGGGATGTGGGGGAGGGTGTCTGGGACCCTGGGACCCCTCCCCCAGGTCCTCCCCTCTCACCCAAGGCAGGTCCTTGCACCTTGGTGAGAGAGGTCAGCATATCTTGGGAGCGAAGCTGCAGCAGGTTTCCCAGGAGTGGGAGAGGCCTAGGGCCTGGGGGCAGCCGGCCTTTGCCCCTTGAACTGAGCACCAGGAACACACAGGCGAGAGCCAGGAGCAGGAACAAGATGGCAGCGCTCATGCTGTCTGTGGTGAAAGCAGCCTCCGGCATCTGGGGCGGAAAGCAGGGGAGCACAGGACTGGGGAGGGAGTGGGGTCCCTTCGCTCTGCAGCTCCTGGCACTTGCCTTCCCCGCACCCTGGAAATGGGGGCAGAAGGAAAGAAGGAAGGGGGAGCACCTGAGTGTCTCAGTCCGTCAGGCACTGGACTCTTGATTTCCGCTCGGGTCATGGTCTCGTGGTTCTGTGAGTTTGAGCCCAGCCTTGGGCTCTGCGCTAAGAGATCCTCTCTCTCTCTCGCTGCCCCTCCCCTGCTTGTGCTCTCTCTCAAAATAAATAAATAAATGTAAAAAAAAAAAGAGGGAGAGAGTGAGAGAAGGGAGGAGGTAGAGAGAGGCCGGGACAGGGAAAGACCAGGGACTGAAGGGACAGAAGTGGGGGGTGGGGAGAGAGAAGGAGAGAAAGGGCACAGGGACCATGAGAAAACAGAGGCAGAGGCAGTCAAAATACATAGAGACCAACAGTAAGAGAGACAGCAACGGAATAGAGACGGATGGAGAGATGGAGATGGAGAGACAGAGATACACATGGAGATAATGAGGGGTACGGACAAACCAAGCAGGATATCCGAATATCTGTAGATGTCTGTCTATCATCTGTATGTCTATCATCATCTACCATCTATCTTGAGACCGACTCTCACACAGAGACAGTGATAAGAGAGATACACAGGGACAGAGACAGACAAATCAAGACACAGAGAGAAAGACAGAAGAGAGGTGGAGCGACAGAGAGAAACATACTTCCTGAGAGACTTAGAGACGGGCACTGAAAGATAAAGGGCAAGAGAGACAGAGCTGAACAGAGTGAGGGAGAGAGAGAGAGTGACAGACAGAAAAGAGAGATGCATAGGGACAGACACACACACACACACCGAACATTAGACAGAGACACCCAGAAAGAGAGACCAAGATGGGCTGAGACAGAGAAGGGGGCAGAAGCAGAAACAGATAGAAAAGAATCAGGGGTTCGCTCAGGGACTCATTCCACAGATGCCACCCACTGGGTAAAGCGCCAGTAACCGAGAGCCGGTGCCCAGCCCACCGTGAGCTCTAAAACATTTGTCAAATGAACAAACAGAGAGCCACAGAGGGCCCCAGAGACACAGGCTCAGAGACCGTGAGAACCCCCCGGGGGAGGTGACAAGGGAGATGCCGGCCAGTCTTAGTGGCAGGGAGATGATGCTGATGACCCCTCTCTGGAGAGCCACCCACCTCCTCTGTGACCCGCAACTGGCCCTTTACCTGCTGAACTTGCAGGGCAGCTGTGGTACGGTCTGCTCCAGGTGTGTGCCCTGCGGCTCTGGGTATGCCTGGGGGGGCGGTGGGGGCTCTTAAATCTCCTCTGTCCACAGCCCATGCCCCTCCACACCCAGTTGTCCTAGTGACTTTTAATCCCTTCCACTTTCATGCCTTACCTTGGGAGCGGCCCGGGCTGGCAGCCAGCTGGAATGATGCTTTGGGCGGGTGCCATCCCTTGGGAATCCTCCACTGGCCTCTCTCGGGCTGACGGCAGCACCATCCCCGTGGTCAGCAGTGACCATTTTCCGGGGAGTGGGGCAAAACCCTATTTGTTCGCCATTTGGAGCTCTGCGTCTGGTTTTGGTCTGATCTGGGGTTTCGGGGCTGGGCAAAATGAGCCAGGGATGGTGTCTTAGGCACTTGGTTCTACTCCTCAGGGTTGAATTTCTGCCTGTGGCTGCACATGACCTCAGGCAAGTGCCTTTCTGTCCTGCGCTGGGCTCTCCCATTTTCTGGTGCCTGTTCACAGCCCTTCTGGCCATTCTCTGTCTCTCGTGGTTTGTCTCTGAATTTCTGTATCTGTCTCACGTTGCTTCTGCCTCTGAATCTCTTTTGTCTCTCTTTATGTCTCTGCCTCTCTCATTCTCTCATCCTCTGCATCTCTGAGTCTCTGTCTCTCCTCTCTGTTCTGTCTCTAATTCTCTCTGTGTCTTTTCTGTTTCTCTCTGCTTATCTCTCCCTGTACGTCTTTCTCAGCCACCATCTCCTGACTCTCTGGATGTCTCTGTCTCTTTCTCTTCCTGTCTCACACCTTCATAAATCAGACTGCAGTGGGCAGGACTGAAGCGGGTGAAAGTTGGAGGAGGGTTTGGGAGAACTGGAGGAGAAAGGACCTCAGATTTGGGTGTTTTCCGTTTCTTTTCTTTTTAATGATTTTCTTTTTTTCATTTTTTAAAATATTTTTTTACTTATTTCTGAGAGAGAGACAGCGTGAGCATGGGAGGGTCAGGGAGAGAGAGACACACACAGAATCCGAAACAGGCTCCAGGCTCTGAGCTGGCTGTCAGCACAGAGCCCGACGTGGGGCTCGAACCCATGAACCGTGAGATCATGACCTGAGCTGAAGTCGGACACTTAACTGACTGAGCCACCCAGGCGCCCCTAAAGATTTTATTTTTAAGTAATCTCTACGCCATTTGTGGGGCTCAGACTCACAACCCTGAGATCAAGAGTCACACGCTCCACTGACCGAGCCAACTAGGCATTGCCAGATCTCAGATTTGAATGATTCCCCTGCTGCCTTCTGCCCACATAGTCTTTCCCCTGCTCTGTGTCTGCTCTGGGCACCTGCCCCAGAACTGGCCAGGTCAGAAGGGTGGGTTGCAAAAACATGGAGTGAGCCTAGGATTCTAGTGGCAGGAGATAAGATGGGAGGGACAGGCCCCTGAGGTCAAGGGTCTGGGAGGCCAGGTGGAGCTGTGGGGGCCCCCACAGGTCCGTGGGTATACACCGTGTTCGCCTTTCCCATGGAGGTGGGGGAAGAAGTGCTTGAAGGTCTTAGGGAACCTGACACCCCAGTTCTCAGGCACATGGCCGGGATGAAAGCGGGGCCAATGCTGTTTTTAAGTCTCAGAAAGGGGTTAGGGCAGGTCCTGGAAGAGTGGCGAAGCCTTGATTATGGGATTATATATCTCTAATTTCCTTTGGCATCTACCCCTACTTCTGGGGGAGGAGGCAGGACTGGATCCGTCTTAAGCCCATAACTGACACTAGAACTGGTTTGAGAGAGTCCCAGTGGGACTGTCTCACTGGGGAACGTGACCTTCATGAGGAGAGCTTTTAAGGGGCTTTGAATTCTTCTTGCAGCCTGACTCGCTGTCCTTGCTACGGAGGAAATATGGGGGTAGGAAGGGATGTATTGTAGGGTTTCTCAATCTTGGCGCTATTGACGTTCTTTGTGTGTGAGGCTATCCCATGGTGGTAGGATGCTTAGCCATATGTCTGGGCCGTACCCATCTCTCCGATACTGAAACTGAAGTTAGAGATTGACCTCTGTTCAAGCTCAGTGGTTCTAAGATGTTCCAGAAGTGGCCTGGCATTCTGCCTGTAAGCCATTCTACCTTAAAGGGGGTTCGGGGGACGGTTACACAGGAAGGGCCAATAAATATGACTCAGAAGAGCTGTGGTTTAGGGTAATGAATGAAGGAAATGATGTTAAAGGGTTTCAGAATTCCCTTTGATTCTCTGATCAAAAGTTTTCATGCACTGGAGAGACACCGAGGAAGATTAAAAATGGCAGATGTTTGAAGGGTCTTTGATAAAATCATAAATTTGGGGTGCCTGGGTGGCTCAGTCCGACTCTTGATATCAGCTCAGTTCATGATCTCATGGTGGTGAGATCAAGCTCCACATCGGCCTCTGCACTGGGTGTGGAGCCTGCTTGGGGTTATCTCTTTCCATCTCCTTCTGCTCCTCCCCTGCTCATTCTCTCCTTCCCTCTCTCCCTCTCTTTCTCTAAATAAATAAACACATTTTATTCTACATTTTGAAATACTTTCAAAAGTGCAGAGAAGTTGCAAAGAGTTGCAAAGAGAGATTTTGCTTCCCCTTCACCTAGCTTTCCCTCATGAGAACCACTTGCAAGATCATGATACGGTGAACAAAACTAAGAAATTACCAGGGGCGCCTGGGTGGCTCAGTTGCTTAAGCATCTGACTTCAGCTCAGGTCATGATCTCATCATGGTCCGTAGGTTTGAGCCCCGTGTCGGGCTTTGTGCTGACAGCTGAGAGCCTGGAGCCTGCTTCGGATTCTGTGTCTCCCTCTCTCTATTTTCCCCTCCTCCACTCATGCTCTGTCTGTCTGTCTCTCTCAAAAATAAATAAAAATTAAAAAATTAAAATTAAAAAGAAATTTGTATTGGTACAACACTACTGGCTACAGACTGTTTCAATTTATCAGCTTTTCCATGAATGTCCTTTTTCCTATTCCAAGATGTCATCTAGAAACACACATCTAGAATCGGTGTCTTCTGAGGCTCCTCCAATTTGTGAATATTTATAGATTCTCCATTGTATATTCTTAGAGTGCAGAATTTTTGAAGTTTATTTATTTATTTAAGTAATCTCTGCACTCAATGTGGGGCTCGAACTCATGACCCCGAGATCAAGAGTCTCATACTACTGTGCCCCCCGCCCGCCTACTGACCGAGCCAGACAGACACTCCCTTAGAATGCAGAGTTTTAAAAATTTTGTTTCACATGGTTTTAGAAGAGGACTTGAGTCAACCAACAGCTTATTTCATAACCAGATCCCCCCATTTTCTGATTCCTTTGAAAATCCAGAGCTGTGTCCTTTGGGGGTCCCCCATCCTCACTCCCTGATACTGAATCATGTTTATGCCAATTCCTCAGCCTTTCATGACCTTGACACTATAAAAAACTACCAGTACCGGTTAGTTAATTTGCAGGATGTGCCTCCCATTCTTTCAGGAAGAGCTGGGGGAGATGCTGAGCTTCAAATGTACAAAGTCATTAGCTGCAGAGAATGGAGATGAAGGGCGCACAGAGGGATAAAGAATAGGACTGCAAGTTTCAGTAGGAAAAGCTTTTGCAGCTGCCTGGTGTGGGCGTGACCAGCAGCCTTGACTGTGCCAGAACCTACTGGGTGATTGTGAGCACTGGAGCTGCTGAGTGAGTAAACAAATGAACCAAGTTTCTTGTCATATGCTAAGCACCTCTAGTTTGGAGGTCA